CACCCAAATCTGCTACGAAACACGCTGCTAGCTGCGGCATTTCCACCACGGCATTACCTCCTCGTCTCCCATTTTCGTCGAGAGGTATGTACAGCATGTAGGACCGCCTGCGGCTTATGCGGGCGCTTCAAGGTTGTTGTTGAGGGGCGGGGGAGGGAGTATTCAGTATCTTGCTCGAAGGTATTCCTGTGCGCACCGCTCTTGCGCTGTGTTTCGATCGAGGTGATGAAAAGTCTTCTTTCCCCTTGTCTGACCGACCATGTTGCAACCTCGAAAGATCCGGCCCCGCCAAGCCAGAGGGTGTCCGGTTGATTCTGATCGATCGAAACACACCAATTATTGTGGAACGTAGCTTGAGATGTACGAGTTGGGGTGTGTGCCGAGGGCAACGTAGCCTTTTTTTCTGGGTCCATAGCTCTGGACAATGGCCGCAGGTTATGTTGTTGGTTGGCTGAATGTGTTCGTAGATGTTGGAAGAGAAAAGTATCTTGCCCACCGGAAATTTCGCCCTGGTTTTGTATAAAAGCTAATGTATGAAATCTGCTATGATGCGTGTGTGCAGTGGTCCGTATACCGCTTACGATGTTTCTTTTTGTAAGACTCAATATTAGCGTGGGCAACAATGTGTACCGCTGCGATTTCCTTGTTTCATTGCTGGTTCGTCATGCACGTATTGGTCAAGCTCCCTGGCTCTAGGCGCCACTGTGCGCCGATGAACTTGTCAGGCAGAATGCAGTGCTACAATAAGCCGAGACTTGCTGATACGTCGGCCTGTTTCGTGGCCCCGGCGTACGAGCAGGAACGACCCTTTTTTGCACACGTTGTTGTATCGTCGGGGCGCATATTGTCATATTTTTCGTTGTTCACCGAGTAGAGGTCCGTCACCCCGGAATGTGGTATTCGGGCGGAGGCATGTATCGCCTGTTAACTGTCGTGATGTACTTCACCGTAAAGCATTGACATTGCCGGGTGGCAAAAAGGCACATTAGTGAGGTGCGAAAACCTATACGTGGCTTGCATATGTTTCTGCGGTGATTGTGCGCGTTAGATTTGAGTTTCGCATCTTGAAAACCGCTCTCAATTGTTTTCGGCATCGGAGCAGTCTTGCTGCGCATGCTTAACGCGGTTTGGTTCGTCTTGGGCAATGTTTGATGGCGGTATGATGCATGTCTCGTTGCTTGTATTCGTTATCCTCGTTGTCGCTGATCAGGCAAGGAGACAGTTGGCCACTGGAATCCTATTCGAGAAGGGTAAATCGAAGGCGACCCGCACTTCAAGACAAAGGACCCGAGAGCGGCAAGTGTGTTCCCGTAAGATCACGGCGGAAACGAAGTCGTCGGGAGCTCGGGAGCTCGGACATGATCGTGTCCGGGGCTCCACAGACCAATAGGTACTAACTAAAGGTCTTGCGTATGTCTGATACGACAGGTTCAGTGTGTTGTCCTGACAGACACAAGCTTTTGCTGCCGCGGCGGGGGGATGTTTTTTGTTTGAACGATTTTGATTGGAGGGGTGGTGTTCTACCGTAGTTAGCGATGGATTGGATTGGACAACGGAGAAGGCCTGTCTTGCGTTCTTGTGCCAAGATCTTGCATTGTGGAGTCAAAGTGTCTTGGAACTGGTCATGATGCATTTAATGGAAGCCTCGCTGGACGCTATACATGTGTCTCTCCTCCAGGTACTGCAGTCGTTTTTGGGTGAAGACATTTTCCTTCCAGGAACTTTGAAACATCCACTTGTGCACGCTTTTGTCAAGCTCCCTGACTCTTCAGGCGCCGCGAGCGCCAAAGACATTGTCGGGCAGAATGCGGTGCTACATGAAGCCAAGATTTGTTGATACGTCAGCTTGTTTTGCGGCACCAGCGTACGAGCAGGAACGATCCGGCTTAGCATGTTTCTGTGTCGTTGGGGCGTACATTGAGAATTTATCAAATTGTTGTCTTCCTTGGATCGGGAATCAGAATAAAATGGAACTGAAACGTGTTCGGCGTTTGTTGAGCGCATTTTCGTTGCAGATGCTGCTAGTATTCGGCCGCAGACGGTATCAACGTTCTTGTTGGACACAGCAGTAGTGCTCTGTTGCTTGATGGAAACGACAAACGGTCGTGCCGATCTGCGGCTGGTGTTCAGTGTTTGTTCCAACTGCATACATGGTGAGATTCTTCGCTTACAAAATACAACACCCTTGCGTCTGTTGGCGACTCGCAGATAGTCAGGTTCGGACTCTGCTTTCGGCGAACCTCCAGGATGGCACTATGACCAGGTCGGGTGGTCGAACACAAGTCAGACGATGTGGCTCATATGGAGGTGAGGTTGGCATGACGTCGATTTCTTGTCTCCCCGGTGCGGTACAGGTGACGGAGTTTTCCCGCTGGTGAAGTGTAGCACCGGGAACGATACAACGTGCAATCCCCTTCTTCGAGTGCAAATGTTTTTTGGAGGTGTTTTTTTGTGCCTCTTTCATGGATGCGTTTTTTTTTTATTTAGAGGTATTAGGCGGCGGTGATTAAAACTCTTCCAAATGTACCATCCGAAAAAAATTTAACACCCTATCCAGCCAGTGGAAGCGTGCGCGTGTTTGTCAAACCGGGTGAAATCCGGAAAACCGGAACCGTGAGGCAGTCCTCAAAAGTTCGCTTTACCCGCGTGAGAAGATGTGTGGGTCTGGCGTGGTCGTATCCGTTGTTAGTATCATATGCGGCGATTTTTGTCGCTGTGTGCGGCGCTTCGTGTACGGATGGATCCCTCTGGACTCACCTTCGCTTCCAGGGGGGAGGAGGTCTCGCTGTCTTCGTGTTTCCTCGTTTTCATTCGCACGATGCCCGCCACGGCAGGGGTTGCTGTGGAACTGAACAGATACATGAGCCGCTGTGCGATGCGTTGCTTACAGGCGACGTGCGCGGTAGACACGGGTGTGGTCAGGCAAATTGGTGGTCTTGTGATGCGTATAGTTTGTGTTGATTCTCGACGTTCATGCCCGTCGAAACTCCATCGGAAATCCAACAGGGGAGCGCAGTGTCGAGATGCCACTTCCAAGTACCCAGTTGTACCAAGTTGTTATCCCCATCCCCCGACCGCTCTGAAGGCGTGTTGCTTTGTTCCGGATATACTTGTATGTGGATCATTCAGTTTTTTTGCCGCAGCGTGCGGTGGTGCAAAGTCGTCGGACAGAAGACTGCTGTTGTATCTGCGACATTGAATATGAAGCTTTCGTTGGTGTAATGCTCGCTTAGATGGTGTATCTGTAATTTAGCGATGTCAACTGCTTGCGTCGGCTTCCCGTATTCCAGCCCACGGAATTTGACTGTCAGCCTTGTTGATCGTATCAGGCTGTCCTTGATTGTTCACACTCGTGTTCCATCGCCATCATTCTGTTGCGACCATGAAGTGATCACCCCTCTCCGTTTCACTTTCCTTCGCAGGTTTTTTCCGACCGCGGATCGCGGTTTTCCTTGCGGCGGAAAAAGCGGCTGAGGACATCATACGCCGGCTCCCTAGTCAGGTCGTGAAACCATTTTTACGGGCAAATGTAATAGTGAACACCGGTTTTCCGGAACGCCCGGCATGCGGTGTCGGTATCCGGCAATCCTTTTCCGACCCGGGTGGACACGGGTTGATTGGGTACCAACATTGGAGCCCATTGTCGCACGGGTTGCAAGCTTTCGGCAGCCAGGGAGATGTGGATGTGTGCGAAGCATGCGTGGCGCTTAGTTTTGTTCTTGCTGTGTGAAAGGACGGTTGCGGCAGCAGCTGTTTTTTATGAGGCAAGGTTATCGATGACATCTGCGGAGTACAAAGAGAGCGGCGCTGCGCTATGAACGGCAATATTGTTGCCGTCAGACCTGTCAGGTCTCGTTGTGGCTCAGTGCCCGGGCAACGATTCAGAGCATGTCGGGAACCCGTGCGTTGGTTTGCTGATCGGGCGTGTTGTCGGGGTCGGACAATATTATAGTTCTTTTCTTTTTCCTGTCTTGGGTAACCTCGCGAGCGGAGTGGCCACGGGGTATTGCCGTTTCCTTTTTTTGGGTAAGTTAGCCTGTTACCACGGGAATCGTCCCGTCGCTTGTTGGAATTGTACGGACAGAAGGTACTGGGCAGCGAAAACGGAACGGTATTATTAATGTGAAGGTAACAACAGATTGGGGAGGGTGGTTGGGCGCGCGTGTGTCCACCCAGATGTGTCGAAGGTACTCGGCGACCCCCTCTGAAGCATGTAGACAGGTGCGATGAAAAACAAGTAGACGGATTGCGTGTCGTCCCAGTTCTGCCCGGCGATCCCGTCGTCGAGCCGCGTCTGTCTGTGCCGTTAGCCCCATATATCTTCGGGAATACTTGGTTGTTTGGGCTCGGGCGGTCCACCTGAACAATCGGTGTACTTTCCGCTGCTGTGTGGTCAGTCAGCGTAGCCCGGCAAACGCAAGTTGGGACATGTATTCGTCGAGTTTCCCGTCTAGCTCGCGCGAAATAAAAACGCACACGAAACATTTTGGTGGAAATTGAGAGCGAGAGCCAATAAATTTAAACTTCGGGTCCAGACTCCTCTTGCCATCTCTTGGGAAGTTGGGGGTGGGCTCTTCCAAGAAGCGGCGCAATTTGAAGGTCCGATCGGCAGCTATGAGCGTGTCATCGTCACCGGATGCTGCAGCTAGGAGCTAGACAATTGATAGAATTCCCCAAATTGGCTGTTCCTGCCTCAAACTGTTGCAGGGCGATTCGGCCTCGGGCGGTGGTCTCTGCTGTAGCTTCTATTCGCCGCTGCAACTCCACATCGAGAGACTCCAACAGGATGGTATCGGCTTGTAGTTACAGGCTGGCCCTTCATTTCAAGCCACACAGCAAGCTTCACCTCTCAGCAGTGGTCCACCTGCAGAGCATCGCGCAATCTCGCTCTCAAGTAGATGCCTCGCTCTCAATTTCACCAATATGCTGAAGCACGTGCGTCCTGTTGAACTTGACCCTTAGCAACTAGTAGTCTGACTGACCCACTTGACCCTTCGTAGTCTGACTGACCCACTTGACCCTTTTTTCGTTGCCAGCTTTGTTGTCCTACTGCTGGTCCTAGTTGAAGCGAAAGGCGTTCAAATCCGTGGCCAACTAGTCACCACCACGACCTAGAACACACGCTGAGGGAGGAAGCGGTCCGCCCATCCCGGAGCCATACGATATCTCGCTCACGCAGCAATCGCGGGTAACACCAAGTCATCTATTCCGAACGAAAATGCCCCCTCCTCCCGTCCAGTTCAAAAGCTGAAATTCTTTTCGGTGCGAATCGAGGCCGCCGCGAAACCAACCTGTTGAGTAGCCCATAACAAAAGTGTGTGATTTTGGCATCGAGTTTGGACGAGGTGCGCGAGAGCTCCCGATTCGAGCCCGCTAAGATGCCGCACGGTACACCCGTGAAAACATGTCAGATGGGCCCATGACGCTGCTCCAAAACTCTCACGATTACGATTGAAATACGGACTTCTTTCTTTTCGCGCAACCGCCTGCTTTCTTGCGGAGCGACCCGCTTGGCTACAAGCGCAAAGACTGAGGCAGCTGGAATCAGACGTGCGGCGGCCCGAACGAGATCACGATTGCCTTGTAGCTGCTGTAGGGGCTATCCCTCGACCTTTCGCCGTGCTTCCACCCTGTCCTTTTCCTTGCCCGTCTCCTCCTGAAGCACCTGCCGCGGGTTGCGGTGGTGCTCCTCCTGCAGCTTTCGATCGCCCTCCGCCGCCTCTTGAAGACCCGCTCCTCTTTTGCCGGGAAGGTTTGTTTGAAGCCTTTGTTGCAGCCTGTCCCTGACAACAATGCGCGATAAAAACTATCATGAGCCGCGACCTTTCGGTTGACCACCAAAGAACCCACCCACGGGAAGTGTGTGCTCACCTTCACTGGCGTGATACTTCCAAGTGAAGAACGGCTGTCGGCATTCGCCAGTTCAACACACGTCAAGGGTTGCGAGTAGAGCCATACTCAAGAGGTCGATCAGTGACAGGCATTTGGCAAACGGATACAGTAGTAGTATCGCCGCACAACCATAACCAACAAAATCGATCGGAATAAGGATTCGCCTTATGACGATCTTAGTCTAAACGAGGCACACTAAAACTGCCACAATAATATTCAGACGCACCGACTGCACCCCTCCCGCTCCCTCGACTTGCTGATGCTGCGCATCGTGGCTGGGCGCTCGTGGCTGAGGTTTACTCTCGTGCACCGAATGGTGACCACGCCCTCGTCCCCCTCGTCCCCCTCGTCCCCCCCTCCCCGTTTCTTTTCCCCCGTTCCTGCCTCCGTCGCCACCAGCTTGTTGCCACCCGCCGGTCTGTTCATCCTGAAGGTGCCTGTTGCCGCCGCCGTTGTTGCGGCCATGCTTGGGAGGGGGCGCTCCTCCTCCTCCTCCTCCTCCTCCTCCTCCTCCTCCTCCTCCTCCTCCTCCTCCTCCTCCTCCTCCTCCTCCTCCTCCTCCTCCTCCTCCTCCTCCTCCTCCTCCTCCTCCTCCTCCTCCTCCTCCTCCTCCTCCTCCTCCTCCTCCTCCTCCTCCTCCTCCTCCTCCTCCTCCTCCTCCTCCNCTCCTCCTCCTCCTCCTCCTCCCTGTGCTCTGGTGGTAGCAGAATTTCTCGGTGACGATGCGGCGACGGCGGCGGCGGCAGCGGCGGCGGCGGAGTACACCTGGCGTGTGGGGTGCTGGTGAGGCGGCGCCTTGCCGCCCCCGTCTCTCCGTGCGTCCTGTTCCTGCACTCTGGCTACGGTCGTGTTGTTGTTGTTGTTGCTGCTGCTTTGGTCGTGTCCGCGGTTCCTCGTGTCCCGCTGCTGAGCTCTCGCGACCTTGCTGTTGCCTTTGTTGTCGCTGCGCTGCTGTTAGTTGATGCGGGAGCGAAGCGCCAAGTTAGTCGACAACCCCCGCGCTCAACTTGATCTCCTAATGGTCGTATTACCAAGGCAACGGTTGCGTTTTCTACGGAATATTCATTGGAGAGCGAAAGGGATACACGCGATGCTACCAGCGTGTATGTAGTGTAGCTTTCAGCATAAAATTGAAAAACCAAGAACGTGAAATCCGCGTAGAAGACACGATAATAAGAAAAACAACGGATTGGTCGGAATTTGGAGTGAAAAAACACTACGCAACGTACCGAGACACATTTCAAACGGACGGACGAATACACACTGTACAGAGGGAAAGAAGAAAAGGTTGGCATCTTGTTCGTACCTGCTGCTGCTGCGGCAGCTGCTGCTGCGGCTGCTGCTGCGGCTCTTGACGGCGCTGCTGCGTAAGCCGGCGATGGGGCGAGGTCTTCTTGACGAACGTCAGCGCGTCTCGCACGGTCTCCTTCCGGCCCAGCTTCCTCAGCGCTTCTGCCGCTACCTCCACACAGTTTGTCGGGCCCTTGACCAAGAGCACGAGGTCCTACGGCGTTTTTTCCAAAACAACGCAAGTGCGTGGGGTGTGTCGAGGTAGCAGTGATGAGAGAAGCGAAGCGTAACACTTGTCAGACCTCTTGTCAACTAGAGTTCCACTCTGTCGGTCGAAGAGCGGACTGTTGAACCTCGTCTTGTGGTGCAGTAACAGTCCTTTCTTTTATCTCAAGTACAGGCTCTAGCCTGCGCAAGTAAGCAGAGAGGCCTGCTTGTTGTGCGTGACAAACCTTTCTCGTTTGGTACAAGAGCGCATAAGCATCGGACGTAAAACCAAACCCAACTGCTACTGGAAGGGAGGCATTTATCGTAGAACGTACCAGCCAGCGCAAAAGAGAAAGTGTACCTCATCTGTGTCGCCATCGGCGACGGCCGTAGGCGTTGCTTCTGCCGTACTTTCGGCGGCGTTCTCTGTCGTCGTCTTCGTCGCCGAAGCGTTCGCGTTTCCCGTTCCCCCCCTGCCCCCGTCCGCCCCGGCACGCGGCACTGAGATCGCTGTCGCCCTTGTGCCTGTGTGCCTAATAGACGTTGACGAAGGTTGATAGCAGGGGACCAGGCGCTGCAAGGTCTCAGCTGCACACGCGTGGAGCGTTTCATCGCATTGAGGGGGACGTGCTGAGCAACTTGGGGGGGGGGGCAACCTCTTCGAGTGCTCGATCCGTCCCTCAGACCGCCCGCTTTGCAACAACAGGCGTCTAACGCGTCACGAACCGCTATAAGACCCGAGTCGAAAACTGAACGCGAAAAAAAAAGGCGAAAACAAGAAGAAAAAATCACACTCCTTCGGGTCCATTTTATATTAGATTAACTTTTTGGGATAATTTAGCCTGTGACCAAGGTAATAGACCGTGTCAAGTGATAGACTAGTACGGACAGAATGAGGTACTGGATAGAGAGAACGCAAGGGTGTTTAATGCGGAGACAACAACAACAACAACAACAACAGGCAACTACAGTACACCAACTATTTTTTCACCAGCACCAAAAAAGCGCAACTGGCGAGAACCACCGAACCTCACAAAGCGCGCGGGCTCACTTTTGGATGTCCTTCAAAATTAGCCATCGTGCGACAACCAGCCCGTTGCCCGGCTTCGACTTGGCCTGGCCCTTGAGCACCGGGATGACGCTCGCCGGCAACCGCACGGTTTCTTCCGACCTTTCCGTGCTGGGCAACGGCCCGGGGATCGGTATCACCATCTGCCCTTGGCTCTGCTGCTGCTGCTGCTGCTTTGGGCTTTCTTCCGGCATCGCTTCACCGGCTTGCCGCGGCGGAGTCGGCCACTGCGTGTTGTTGGTCGTCCGAGGAGAGCTCGTCCGCTGCTGCTGTGCCCCTTCGCCGGCCGCCCCTCGCATAACCGAGTTAATCGCCGCGGCTGCTATAGCTTGTCCACCCCCGCCCGAAGCTGCAGCAGCTTTCGCGGTCGTCTGCTGCTGTTGCTGCTGTCGTTTGCCACGCGCACCTGTCCCCTGTTGTGCCGGCGACGGCGTACCTATCTCCGTCGGGGGCGGCCGCGAGTGCCCTTGCCCCGGCTCCTGCTTCGCTGGTTGCTGCCGTTTGTTGGCCACGGTCGTCGCCGTTTTCGTTGTTGCTGTTGCTGTTGTTGTTAATGTTGTTGCTGCTGCTGCTGCTGCCGCTGCTGCCGCCGGAGCGTGGCTCCATCCCACGGCCTGTGGTACGCCTCGCTGCGCTTCGGTAACCATCGTGTGGCGCATCCCTTCCCTGCTAGTACGGTCCGCACCCTCTCCCCTGGCCGGAGATTCCGACGAGGCTAACGCTACTGGCACCCCAGGAGGAAGAGCGGAACGCCGCGGTTCATCCGCAGCATCGGTGGCGACCGCCGTGGGGGCAGCCAAAGAATTGTTGGGGTGGCGGAGGGCGCCGACGAGTGTCGCGGCGGGACACCCGTACACAGTCTCCATGATCATCGCCAGGGATGAGAATACTGCTTCGACCTCACCCTCGAGCTGGAAGGAAAGTTTACCGCCACAAGAACGGGGCGGGGGCGCGAAGGAGGGGGATCGATCGGAGGGAGGTAAGCTACAGAAGTAGGTGGCATTTGAACACGGCTGATCGCACCCCTGTCACCATCCAGCTGCGGATACTCAAGAGGGCGCTGAATAGACGGGTCATGGGGGGAGATCCTAGAAGGACGGAAAAGACGGAATTTAACTGAAGTATTTCCGTCGTCAGCTGGTCAGCTCGGTCGACGCCAAGCAAACACGCCCACGCACACACAGCGGTCAACAACCACACACACACAAAAAAAGAGCAACGTAGGCCTTCGGAGTAACAAGATGGTAGCGGAGAGATGCAGAAAGAGTCGCGGGGGCAGGTAAGATGACGCTTGTAGAGCAGCAGCAGCAGCAGCAGCAGCAGCAGACCACGAGCCCGAGTGAGCGACATGCAAACCAAACACTTCGTCGAATCAAAGCCGTTCCGTTCACACAATCAACCCGCCTCTCATCAGCGACATACAAACCCCAACAGTTCGGTGAATCAAAGCCGTTCCGCGCACACAATCAACCCGCCTTTCAGAAAGCAAAACTAACCCCCGCACCTGAACGACAAGATTCTTATCCCGCAAGGATGACGACGACGATGACGACGACGGCCACCCGTGCTGTTGCTGCTGCTGCGCCGCCGCCTCCTTCTCCGACGGCACCGTGATGCGGACGGCGTTCGCCGCGCTGATGCGCTTGAGCGTCGCTCCCTTCGGGCCCACGATGATCGGGTGCCGGCTGAGGTGCAGCGGGAACTCGGCCACGGCCGCAGTGTCGACCTCTGGTTGAATCGCCGATTTTAGTAACAAATCCGATCGATTCAAGAGAGAGAGGGGAGAACCGTCAATTCGTGCAGAGGTGAAGAGGGAGGGGAGAACCGTCAATTCGTGCAGAGGTACAATAACGCGATGAGCAGCAGCAGTGTCGACAACAACGAGGAATGAGTCTCTGGTGAATCTGGCCTTTCTCTTCGAGGCGCGTGGCCCGACCAAGCCAGCAGCGAGGCGGGAGAGTTGTCAAGGGATGGCGACGAGCGAGCATCAACACCTCAAAACAACGACAACGAAAGTCACCCCCAACGTTCCGGTCGATGGAAAATCGCCGCCAAGAAAAGCAAGGCCGTCGCACGTCAAGGTCGACGGCGTTTTTCAAGGGTACGCAGTGGACGACGTCGGTGAAACATCGGTACAAAAGCCGTCGATCGCGCCCGCCTCTACCTTGTGTGCGAAAGAACAACACCACATGAACAATTCGGCGGTCGGGCATTCTACAGACGCGGCTTCAAGCGACAGAGGGCAATGAAAACGAGTATCCTGGCGGTGGGTGCCAACTGGAGAGCATGAACAACAGCATCGCCTCGGATTCACGAAAAGGGGGAACGCTCTCTCGGCCCCCGCGTTCCCCATTTGTAGGCTGCTTGCCTCCGCATTCTTACACCCAAGCCGGAGGGTTCCCGCCTGCCTGAAATCAACCTACTCCTTGATTTTGTTCCCATGAACAAGGGTGCGTACCCAACAATGGCTAAATAGGCTGCGAAGCAAGCGCCCTGTCCACGCGTTTTGCTGCCTCTGAATCAGAACCGCGGCGGGTCCAGGGAGGCAACTACCGCAGAGCTGACGATGACCACAACATCACAAGACCAGGCGGGATGGGCAGACAACAAACACACAGCGAATGGGCCTCCCTCTCTTGATGCTCTTCGACTAGTGCAAAGGGCGTTCGACAGAAAAAACAAACGTAAGCAGATCGCACCTTCGACGATCTCGGCAATGGCTTTGTAGGCCTTGAATGAGCTTGTGGGATCACCCGTGATGACTACCGGCGACCACAAGAGGCCGGGCGGCGCAACCTGTCCATCCCCCCGAAGGGAGCAAGTGGAAGAACCGGAGGTGAACGCGGGTGGGGCTTCGGATACTTCAAGCACTGCTTGAAGTTGCTGACAAGACAGGTGAGGCCGAGTTGTAACGATGTTCGAGAATGAAGAAAAAATAAACGAACAAAAAATCGAACGCTGAGATACCATTCGTTTCAGCAGATGTCTGTTGCACCTAAGAACTTCCCAAGGCGCTGCTGTGTTTTGAATATTAAATCAAAAGTCAAAGTCACACATGACAAGCGGGGTTTCGCTTTGCCCAAACGGATACATAGACCGCGGTGCCGCTGCGCTGTGGGTTGCATCAGCCGACTTGCTACACAGTGTTCATCGTGAGGCCATCGACACCCCCACGACGGAGGCCTTGGGTATTCCTTGTAGCTAACCCAGCAGGAGCGCTTCTGGCCGCCAAATGGCTACACCCGCGCCGGCTTGTTTTTCGTTCATTACATCTACTACGGGCGCTCGTGTCGACAAAAACCACCTTGTGTTGCCCTTCAACAGCCTTGACCACTCTTCATACTCACAAGGTGCAAGGCTCATGCTCACAAGTGCACCTCCCTCCAGTACGTTGCCCGCGCTACGAGTAGGAGGGCAGCATTCCCGAATGTAAAATGGCTCATTGGGGTCTGCTTGACGGAAACGTGCTTGCCCTTCGCGCCATCAGATACTGTTCGGCGTGGCCCATCCCATCCACAACGTGAATAATTTTGAGTAGGACAGTAGGCCTAATCACCGCGCCAAAAGAAATCTCTTCCGTGCAATCGAAAACAACAGAATCAGCATCCACCGACGACGACGACAACAAGACCAGAACAAGAACAAGAACAAGAACAAGAACAAAAGCGGCAACATGCAACATGACATGCAACATGATCATCAGCATCATCAGTAAGCACGACAACGACTACAACAACAACAACAACAACAACAACAACGGCGAGTGCCGCGCCTCACCGGACAGTCGATAGACTTGACGCCCAGCTCTTGCTTGATCTGGCCGCACTTGCCAATGACCATGGCGGTCTGCTCTACGGGGATCCAAATCCTCAGCGTGAACCGCCCCTTCAGGTGGGGGTGGTCCATGTTTTTGCCAACCGTGAACTCCGGCTTCGCCATAGCGCCACAAGATCTACCGCCTTCCCTTTCCCGCCTGCCCCTTGCTTGGGTGTTCAGTACCGAAGACGGCCCGCAGCACGGTCTGCGCTGCTGTGCCGAAACAGGACCTGCGCTACGTTGGGCACGATTGCTCGGGATTAGGGAATGGCTCGACGTTTCTGCTCTTCGGGGCCGTTGTATATTCTGCGGACATCTCCTTCATAAAGGGCAGAATCTCGCCAACGTCTGCCTGTCTGTTTGAGGGCGATTACCTCTGGGAGCATAGACGTCGGGGTGAAGGCTCGACGTTTCTGCTCTTCGGGGCCGTTGTATATTCTGCGGACATCTCCTTCATAAAGGGCAGAATCTCGCCAACGTCTGCCTGTCTGTTTGAGGGCGATTACCTCTGGGAGCATAGACGTCGGGGTGAAGGCTCGACGTTTCTGCTCTTCGGGGCCGTTGTATATTCTGCGGACATCTCCTTCATAAAGGGCAGAATCTCGCCAACGTCTGCCTGTCTGTTTGAGGGCGATTACCTCTGGGAACATAGAGGTCGGGGTGAAAGGCCTGGTGGTGCAAGCGCAACAAAAAAAACAGAAAAATATTCTTGGTAGGCTTCAATAGAGCCCTCAACTCTGGGAGAGCGTATGGCCCGGGATGTGGAAGCCATGACCTTGTGACCGGGAGTTTAGCTGTGTCCATTGTCGGAATGGGACGAGGAATACCAAGCGAGACCGAGCGACGTCAATCAAGCTACTGTAGGTTGGAGTGCAGAGTTGGGCGAGCCTTCGTGGACGTATTTTCTCCCACCTCCTCAAGATTCATCAACTACTCGCAGCGTAATCGTACTCCCCACACACGCCGATGCCGCGGCAAAGGGTCGCCAGCAGCAGCTAAAATTAATGGTGTAGAGCAAAACGATGTTTTCCTTGTGTCCCATTTGCTGTTTGTTCAATCATACCATCACATCATTTAGGTCTTTGATGTTGCTGCTCCTGGTGTCATCGTCGTGTCTGCATCAAATCCTCAAAGCCTATTCTGAGTTGTATACACAAGCACCACGGACACACCGTTGTGACGCAAGATACCACACTCCGTGCAGTGCGCAGACAACGGTTGCACGGAGAAGCCACCCCCCAGACATACAACAGAAGCACTTTCAGTCGAGTCGCGGGGTGGCACGTAGACACAGGAAACCACACACAACGCAGGTTTGTAGACAATTCCTCAAGGTCATCTCTGGATGTATAACCACTGCGGCCCTTACTGTATTTTGACCTGGGCCGTTTCGGTTTTGAGGGCTTTGAAAGTATTGCCAGTGGGCGGCACTACAGCCCCTCGCACACGTGCAGCCGCAGCTCTAAACTCTCTCTCCACTAAGGGCACACCAGTTGACTCAAACAATGGCCATCGTTTGCCGTGGTTTGCTTGTGTGTCCGGCCAAAGGGCAAGTCTCCTTTTTCCAGAGACCAAAATGGCGACACGCGGCGCAACTTTCACCAGTCACAGCCATCGCAAGATATGCCAAGTGTGAAATCGCAGATCAAATGCAGCAATAGATTGGGAACAGAGCCAAGAAACCCCGTCCCACCACGAACTCACCTCGCTCAAGATAATACGGCGCTCCTGAAGTAGTAGGGCAAAGTCTATCGATCCTCTTTGTAGGGGATTCTTGAAGTGTCCACAATGCCCGGGAAGGGCGAGATCATCATCATCGGGTGTTCAAGGCCATTCATGTGGCGTTTTTTCAACCAGCGCGCGGGCGCCCTCCGAGCGAAGGTGTCGGCTCGGAAGGGCAAGCCAGCAACGAGCACACGGAAAGCACGTCATCAAGCACGCGAGGATTTCGTGGCTTGCTTGCGAAGGGCAGGGGATCTGGGGAACCAATGGCACGCCTCAAACACACCAAGAACAAGGCGGTCGGCGGCAGCAAGCCCACCAAGTCGCCGAGGTGTGTGTGTGAAGCCAGATCTATTTTGCGCGCGTTTTTTTCTGCGCCTACGCTGCTTTGCTCCGTGCGGGAAAAGCATCGCTCGGAGTTCTCTGCCGCTTGCAAGTTTGGCCGACCCTTCCGCCCGAGTGATTGTATCTTGTGTTTGACGTAGTCGGCGGTGGTCATGCGGCTTGCCCTGGATGTTGGTGTGTGTGTTTTCGCGTTTTGGAACACAGCTGTTCGGTGACCGTAGCGGTAGCCTCACAGAATGAAGGTTGTTTTGGTGTTGGGAGGATGTAGCCGAAACAAGGCTGCATCTCTCGCGACAAACGCCTGCACGCTCCCCACCTGTAGAGCTTCAAATAATAGAGCTCAACATGCTGCCAGTCTAAGGTTGGTGCTGCTGTGTTGTTGATAAGAGGGAACCGGGTGTGGTTTGCACACACCGTCTTGAGGTCAAACAACGCCGCTTGCGGGGGGCGGAGAGGGGTTGCCCACATCGTATTTCAAACGTCGCGGAATTCACCGCTACGCATCCTCATGTGCAGTGTGCATGATCTCCACCTGCATGGAGAGTTTCAAATGGCAGAGCTTTACATTTTGCTGCTAGTCAAAGGTTTGCTGGGGTGTTGTTGACCGAGAACATTGGAGTCGTTTCACAAAATTTTGAAGTGCAAGCGCCCGCGGGGGGTGCACGCATCAGCAGGAATATTTGAGCTATTAATACTATAGTAGTGCTGTACGCCCCGTGTAGAATACGGGATCCATACAAGCATGTGATCTTGGGCGTCTTCATGTCCATCATGCAGGCCGCATCTCAGAAACCGCAGCTGATGGTTGAACTGCTGCTGTAGGCGGATACAACGCTAGGTTGAGTTTTCTATTCTTTCTCAATGCTTGCAGCAGCAGTCGGTGATGTACGCGAATTGACGACAAAGTGAGCGTTTCTTACAAGTCCTGACAACTCGACAACTTGGAAATTGGAGTGAGAGAGGCGGCGAAACTACAGCTGTAGACTGGAGTGCGTGACGCCAGACAAACTCCCTCGACTCCTCATTTCCTTATTGCTTCAGATCAAGGTTGGGCATCGCCTTCTCACGTCGTAGGACTGCTGTGTTCGCCGTGCTCGCCTGTGATTGTAGCCTGCTCGTAGACCAAGCCGTCCAACGCGAACCCAGGTTGATCATGTCTCTGTTTCTTGATCGACGGCATGCATTTCTTCGCCCACACCCAACGGTATGTTCAGACATTGAGTTAAACACCTCCTGGTTGTCGTCCAACGCACGACGTTTGCTTCTCTTTAGAGAAGAGTGCCTGTCTCCTTGCACTTGCTTTTAAGTGCATGCACCTGACGTCGTAAGCGACAGCCTTGACTTGCTTGCTTTCTTGAATAGCGCTGCCTGATTTCAGACACAATTAATTTTTCTTCCGAAAGGCGTGTCCTCGACTGCTTGTGCAAAAGTACTTTGTGTATAAAGTAGCCCGGCAGTCTACAAGGCGACCGAAACTGCTCGCTCGCGTGATGTGCCATTTTTCGAGCTTGCACCAGCCGATATCGACGCGCGATTGTCGATGATAGCGTACTACCGTAAGTATCACTACGGGCACGCGCGAGTTAGATGGCAACATAGATTCGACATGAACCGGGCTGCCTTCCGCAACTTAATTACCGTTACTACGAGCAGCAGCAGCAGCAGCAGCAGCAGCAGCAGCAGCAGCAGCAGCTTTAGATGGACATCAGCAAAGTTGCATGAACAATATATCTTTTTCCTTTTCCAACAAGTCAAGTGTTGCGTCTACCCACTGTGGCGAGTAAACGCCCAAAGGCTGTATCTTAATAGTCCCATGATTTCGGTGATCTTCTATTTATGTACCTCCTCGCCTTGATTTCTCGATCTAAATGAAACGAAACCAACGCACTGATTTGTGGCGAACTGCACCAATTACACGAAAGTTTGTTGTTGTTAATACCAGGAAAACTTTGGCGTCAAGACAGGGAGGCGGGGGATCCGGTGACGGCGGCGAACCTCGGAAGCGAAGGCGTTTCCGTCCAGGGGAGCGGGCTTTGAAGGAGATCAGGGCTTACCAGCGCACGACGGAGCTGCTCCTGAGAAAGCTCCCTTTCGCGCGATTGGTCCGTGGTGTATCGTTACCTGTTGGCGGCGGTGTTGTCGTTGTTGCTTGTGGTGTTGCTGCTGTTGTTGTTGTGCTTTCGTTGTCACTGCAACTGTTGCTGGTGGTTACTTATATTTCACCTCAATTTCTTTGGCTATCTGTACAGCAACCTATCGTAGACATAACAAACCCCGAGTATGTATCGTAAATCGCTGCTGTTGTTGCCGCTGCTGCTACTGCTGTTTTGCGGTGGGCTTCCTTCCTCACGCAGGTGAAAGAGGTGCAGGAGACGTTGACACCAGCAGGGAAGTCGTACCGGTGGCAGGCGGCGGCTCTGCTGGCATTACAGGTGCGAGGGAGATGTCCACCCCGCTGCGTGTTGCGTTGCATGCACCGCTGGTCCGCAGCAAGCAACGTACCGTAGGTTGCATACGTAAGATATCACACCCCCTGGACCGATTTTTCAAAGCCCGATAACTCCACGACCACGAAGAATCCGAAATCGAAGGATATGTTTTCGGGAAGCTCTCGACGAGACGTTTCCGATGCCGCCATTTTTCGGCGCCGTCTTTGATTTTACTGCCGAGAAATCGAGCTGCGAAAATCGGTCCAGGGGGTGTGATATCTTGTGCAACCTACGGTACGCTGCTGAAAGCTTTACGAGAGGTGGCTGCTGAACGGATGTTGGGTTCCTTACCATCCTAGTGTTGATGGACGCTGATTGTTCGCCTGTTGGTATGTTTTCGGACGCACTGACCCAGGTCTTACAGGGAGGAAGAAGGCCCCACAAAAGTTTTGTTTTTTTGTCCTCCAATAGTCGAGTGAAACGTGTAAACCAGGATATTGGTATCTTCCTAGTGGTAGTGACGCACGTACAACCATTACAACAAGGATCCGAAGCCCAACGAACAATGTTGTCTGGGTCCGAAGATGTTTAGGAAGAAACATTCTCCGCCTGCTGTGACCAGCCCTACAAGGCTAAATATTAGTACCTGAGATCCCTCCCAAAGGGGTGCGGGTGGTGGGGTCTGCTGGGTGTTATTGTTACGAATTACAACCTCTGCATTGGTGTGATGTCGTCTTCCTGTAGTGGAAAGAAATACACTCCACGCCAACGGCAGCATTCATGTCACCCCCATTCCTGAAAATGAGCCCGAGTATGTTTGTATCTCTTGGCAAAGAACGGACGATGAACGTGCCCACTCGCAAGTCTTTTTTTAGGCGGCGCGACTTTCGGCTGGTGGGGGGGCTGGTGGGGTTGTACAGCAGTCGAAGGCAACATATGTGTGTTGAGAACTCGCTCGTCATTTTCTGTACGCTGTCTCCAGATTTCGTTTACTTTCTTATTGTTGCCGAAACACACAGGAGGCGGCGGAAGCTCACCTAGTGTCTCTCTTCGAGGACGCAAACCTTTGCGCACTACACGCCAAGCGAGTGACGATAATGGTGAGAGTCGTCACGATATGTCTGCTCCAAACTGCTGCGTGAGAGCACGGATGACTTGCATCTAGACAACGCGCGAATGGCGGTATAACCTCTCGGCATCCGATTCGTAGACGAGTTCGAAGAGGATAGGTCAACGTCGCACCCCGAATGAGTGGCGTTCTGGAAGCAAAGTGAGTGAGTGAGGGAAGGAAAGTTGAACGGAAAAAAGCGAAACGAGGGTTACATGCATTAGATTACATGCACTGCAATCGGCGGTCGGGGTAAGGGCGCCAACGTGCGAACGATGATTCATCTCGCGGAAAGGGGGATGGCCTTCATTGTTTCGGGTCCGAAGCAAGGCCCATCTTATTTCTTTCGCTGAATCAGGTGCTTCTGCTTGGAGACCAGCCCATACACGTACCAACTGATTATTGTTGGGGAAGGCATGAAATACGCATTCTTGGGGGGTTGGGTGCGCAGCCGAGGAAGACCTCGTCAACAAGCGTGAGGCAGGCAGGCTTCTGCCACGTTCACGCTGACTAACATTGGCTGAAGCCGACACACCAGAACGCGTTGAAATCGTTGTGCGGAGAGGGTATCGCTAACTATGTGTTGTTGTTTGTTTGCTGTTTTGCTCTCCCCGACCCCAACTCTTGTGCCCCGCCGCTTGATTCTGTTGTATGGCAAGCGAAGGTCCGGGACTTCCAGCTAGCTCGCAGGATTCGAGGGCAAAGCCGAGAGTGAGCAAGATAAAAGTATCGGGGCATGTGTTCGTACGGATACGGGGGGTCGTGTCTTCGGGAGGGAGAGGGGAGCGGGATCAGCTGGGCGGGCAATAACGAAAAGGCCGCAGCAACAATCATCCAGCCCCGGTTCACTTTGGTGATTGGTTGTGCTTCACAAGCCCTGCTGTGGGCAATAGAGCGTAGTGGCGCAGAACTTTCGATTTGTTTTTTCCACGAGCTGTGTCGTTCGTTTTAAGTCAGTAAGGGTCACAGACGACTCTGTGCCGTAAGTGAGAGAGAGTATCGACCGTGTTTTCGGATTCGCAAATCCTCCTTGTGACCCCCCCCCCCTCCCGGATGTATTCAGTATCTACCGCAGGAAGGGACGAGAATGCTTGCTTTCTGCGAATCGGTATGTTTCGCTCGGTCTTGGGTTCAGCTGGAGTCTTGCTTCGATTTTGGCCTCTCTAACCTCTTTTTTAGAGAACTGTACACTATGTTGGAGGGAATTTCGAATCTATTTAATGGGTCGCTTGACAAATAGCAAGGGCATGGGCTGAGGGGAACGAAAGCGGCACGGGAGACGGGGGCAGCACGCACACGAACAGATGCCAGTCGTGTTTTCGGACACGGAGAGCATGCCGTGCCTTTGCCTCGCCGGGCGAGACGCGCAGTTGTCATCGGAATGGCCTTGTGGGGCGGGCGGGCAATGCCGGGGCGAATCCTCGAGGGGGGAGGGACGCTTGCGACAGAGGTAGGGGGGAAGCAAGGGAGGAAGGGCACCACCTGGCCTCCCCAGCTGTTCTGGGTTTTATTTTATTTTCGTTCGGCCGTTTCTCTGCGCCGTGCCGATCGTCCCTCAACTCACTTGGCAGGCCCGCCAGCTGAAGTTGCTTCAGACTGGAACAGCGGTGCATGCCGCTAGGGCTGGGGGCTACAGTTCGGTATACTATGGATTGTGTGTTTTTGTTCGTCGTGTAGGTGAAAAAGTCGCTGCTTTGCCCCCCGTCCCTTCGCACCACTGCCTTGGTGTTTCGGCAGCACCTTCTTTCGCCGACAAGGGGGCTGTGATTAGCGTGCAGCTGCTACGGAACGAGTTTGGTTCTTGTCGTGTTATCTCGTGGTTGTCATTGTCACGTCGCCCCGCTTCTTGTGGCGAGACCGTCGAGTTTTGTTGCCCACGAGGAGCTTGCAGTGGAGAAAGAACAATAGCTAGTGCAGCTCTCTTGTCTTGTGGGAAGGGCGTGCGCAGACACATCCACCGTTTTAACTTCGCGTTGCCAGCTAATTTAAGCTCTGTGCTGGAGTATTGATTCGTGGCGGGGGGCGTCTTGTTCCTATCGCTCACGTGAGTTGGGCGTGCTGAGTTTTTGATCCAGCTTCAAATGCGCTTTCTCAACGTATTAAGTGCGGTGCAACTTACCAATCCTCCTGTGGTTGTTCGGGTACTCGGTTTCGATTCATTGTCGCTTTTTCCCATCGAGCGTGCGGCGCGAACTTTCGGGCTTCCAAGTAGGCTGAATAAATTGTTGATTTCGAGACACGGCAGTAGCAGCGGCTGGCTCGCCCGGGCAGATAGTAACTATGATGACTCTAGGCTTGCTTGCTTGGGGGGCGACGTTCTAACATAGAGGGGGGGTACCTTAGTTTAGTTCCGCTTCTTGACTCGTTTGTTTGCTTTGTTGTACGTCGGGCAAGTGTCGGAAAAATTGTGTGTGTGTAAGTAGGTGTTTGGTCGACCAGCTAGCTAGTTCTTGGCCCCTTTCTTTGTAGCACCCAAGGGGGTCAGAGTTTCGTTCTACTCAATCAAGGAGTGAGAGAGATGTTTCTCCCGTTTTGGAGCAAAGCCAACCCGAACCTCTTGTCACGGTGGGTCTGCGCACTGAACCGGGCTAGAGGATCAGTGGGCGCCCTGACGGAGCCGTAGACAGCATATTCTAGTCTACGCCGTGCGGGGGCGAGGGGGATAGCGAGAAGAATAACTCAGTGCAGGCAGTGTTTTGCGCAAATTGTCACTCTTTTCGTCACGGTGCGGGCGCCGGCTCTTGTTGTGCCTGACAACAGAATTGTAGTTGCTGTTTGTTGTGTAGTTGGCAGTGGTGGCGCAGTTTGGGTAGATACAACACAGAGTGATCATTAGATCCAAAACACAGGCGCCCAAGCTGTCTTCACCTGACGGTTACAGACTTGGAGACACGCCTTCACAATACTGCACAAAACCCATGCAGTAGAATAGAGTCAGTTCTTGCATACAAATCCCAACATGTCCTCTCAAGAACTACGTCATGACTAGCTCTGATACATAAGACACAAAATTCTTTCTCTCAGTGTCCTCTCGAAACAAATACCAGTGTCCTCTCGACAAATGCTATCAACATGAATGCATGCTCTCGAACAATTCAAATTGAATACTCATCACTAACTGCCAGAGTTTTCTGGGCAGCGAATTCCATGTACCGTCCAACCCTTTTAAGACATATGGTCTGATTTCGGTAAGGGGAGGTACTCACACTCCAAGCAAAATAAGGCGGTTCTGCAGGAACTTCACAGCTCCCGAACTTTTGGTCAATATGTCTTCCCTCTGTCTGTTGGTGTCGATGTAAGTTACATCTACCACGTTTTGGTCCTCTAGGTG